TAAAAGAAATGATTAAAATACTCTTTTTAAAACCAAGTACACATTTCTTTGGCCTCAGGGCAACTTGAGAACATCTGAGGTGTTAGTATTTATAGAATGCCCCTTATGTGGGGTCAGTCACTGTGTTAGGCCCTAGGGAGAAGAAGATAAAAGGAACTTTACTCAGTAAAGGGAGGCGGTCACATAAACAAATCACAATGCAGAATCGTAAGTGCTGTGATGGAAACAGTCTACCAACCGAAGCACTCAAAGAAGTGCGGACAGAGATGGAGAATGGACTCACAGAGGCACTCCACGAAGATACTAAGGGAAAGATGATGATTAAGCTGGACCTGAAAAACGAGAGGGGTTGGCCAGTAGGGCCAGGAGGGAAAAGGAGATATTCTAGAAAACAGGAATCAGACATGCAAACGCCAAAGGCATGAACAATCTTTGGGGATAGGGCAATAGGGCAGACCACTTAGGATGGCTGAAGCAAGCAGTGCGACCATAGATGTAGCCAGAGAAGTATTCAGAGAGCAGATGGTAAAACTAAATACAACCCAAATGATTTGAACTTTATTCTCAAGGTTCTGAGGAGCCATTGAATAATTTTAAGGGTATAAGGAAAATATAGACCTATATTTTAGACAGGCCAACTTTGATAGCAGTGGGGAAGATGAAGTTGAGGTGACCAGGCTGGAGGTAGAAAGATCAGTTAGGAAGCCATGAGAGTGATCCAAGTTAAAAAAATAAAATAAAATAAACATTTGTGGCCTTAGGAAAGAGAATAGTAGCAGTGGTCCATAGACAGTTTCTGCAAAGAGGCTTGAGCTGGAGGTATAGATTTGGGAACCACCAATATTTTAAGTGGCAGTTATACTACAGGAGGTGTGATCTGCCAGGAAGAAAATATAATGAGACAAGAAGAAAGTCAGGAGCAAGCACCATAGGACTCCAGCGTGGAGAGGCAGGCAAAGGCAGACACACTTGAAGGAGGTAGAGGAGGAAATCGAGAGGATGGAAGAGAAGCCATGAGAGAGGAGTGTCAGCTTCCAAACAAGAGCAGAACATAGCATCAGAGATAAGAGTGTCCATTAGATTTGGCAGTCAGGACTCTAGCTGGCCTTTGCCATAATTATTTCCATAGAGTGGTGGGGTGGAAGCCAGATTTCTGCTGAGAAGTTTGCTGGAGACGAGACAGTAAAGATAACAAAGCATAAATTACTGTTTTCCCAAAAAGTCTGGCCATGAAAAGGAAAGAAATAGGGCAGTAGATAGGTCTTTGTCACTGCTTCCTTTTAAATCATGACAGATGTAAATATATTTATATACTGATTTTTTTTTAATGTGATGGAGAAGGTGATGATTCAGGAAATAGAATAATCAAAAGAATATTTGCCCTGGGGAGGCGAGAGTACAGGAAGGAACCCGGCTTTGGTCGGGCACCACCTCCCCAGAGACGGAGATGAGCAGGGAGTGTGGCTGTGAATACAGGCACGTTTGGGGCCTAGAAGACAAGAAATCGATGCTCTCATTTATGGTCCCTATGTCCTCTGTGAAACCATCACTGAATGTGAGGATGAAAGCGACGAGTGTGCCTGGAAGAGACTGTTAAAAGTTTAACGTCACTACTGTGGAGAACACAGGAAGTCCCTAAAGGATAATACGCTGAAGATGAGACCAAGGTAGAAGACTGAATATATTATGGCACCAATTCACACAAATGGACAATTGTTCCCAAGCTCTTCAGGAACCTGGGGAGAAAGGGAAATAAAGACAAATGGTACATTTTATCAGCCTTGGAGCTTCATCAGGTGGCAAAGTTAATCCAAGCAGAATTGAAGTCATGGATCAGAAACCTAAACGCGATGTGTGTCTGCCCCACCCATGCACCATACGGGCTCCGAGGCTCGACGCGGGAAGAGGACAGAACAGGAGGCTCCCACTTTAACAGCGAGTCCCGGCCACATGGTCCGATCCAGATGCATCAGCAGTAGAGTGGACATTAAATTTCAAACTTTCAAAATAGAGCTCTTCTATTAATTTGCCAATTGGCTTAAAATCCAAAGAGGTTAGGATGGGGTGATCAGCATTCTGCAAACGCTAGATTTAGAGTTTACAATTTCTTGGTAAAACATTTGTTGATGACGACAAGGGCTAGAAGAGGTCATAGAAGTGTGATGCTAGCAAGGCCTTACCCGAGAGCCACTGGAGCCAAAGATCTCGGACGAAGGCAGCTGCCGGGTGTTGGACATGATCTCTACACGGACACCGAAGTCTTCCAAGTTGAGAGGGAATTTGGGATAGAGAGGAAAAACGTAAGCTGGGTCCTAAGATCCTGATGAATGGAAGGGAGTAACCAGGGACTTGATGGGAATGGTGAAGACAAGGAAAGAGGTGGCAGAGCTGGTACCACTCGGCCTCCATGGAAGATTTTTACAGCAAGGTGACGGAATAGTGTTTGGAAGCCACAGAAGGAGAAGTAGGCAAATGTCATGCCTAATCAAGGCCCTTAGATTTTTCTGGTTTAGGCCAATAAATATCCTTCACTGAAGAAAACTACGGGATAAACAATAACCTCAGGGAGAAGGTTAGGTTTTATTTTATTTATTTTATTTAAGGCAAACTATAGACTGTTTAGAGAAGACAGTAAAAATATGCACATATAGGAGACTGATCCAGGGAGCATAATGGAAAGGGAGGTTCAAAGGATGGAGAACAAGAATAGAAGCCAAAAAGTGTCCGGGAACAAGCTGTCTCATCCCATGCCATCGGAACTGACTGTTGGTTTTCCAGTAAGTCGGATAAAATGGGAAATGATAAAAAAAAAAATGATTCATACATACCATAAACACTTTATATAACTTAAAACATAAATGTACACACATGTGCCAATCTTTTGATGTACAGCCAAGGCCTGCTCTCTGCATGTGGATCTGCTGATTGGAGTTATGCATCTTCTGTCTTACATAAACCACATCCTTCATCATCTACCATTTCCAGTTTTGCTTTCTTTAAAGTGGAGGAAGAACCTGGAGACACTTGTGAAATCATCAGTGCAGAACCTAGCTAGATTTTTATAAACCCCCTTCCCAAACACACACATTTTTTTGCCGTTATACTGCCTGCACCTACTCAATAGCAAAACTTTTGTAGCTAACATTTATCACATCTTTTCAAAGCATTCAGCTTAGTTTTCATAGAAATAAAACTCAAAGTCTTTTCTGCATTTGATCAGCTGATTTACTTTTCATTTAAAGTATATAATTAAAATAAGACATTTAATAATTTCTGGATTTATTAATTGCTGGATAAACAGGTTTGAGGACAAACACAACTGATCCTTGTAAAAAAAAAAAAAAAAAGACAGGTTAATTGGCAGGAGCAAGAGTACATGGATGACCCAAAGAGAAGCCTTCTGACTGAGGGTGGCAATCCTATGGTTAATGGGAAATGCAATATTAACTTACAGTTAATCCTGTAAGTCAGATAACAGATCAATTAAGAGAGCTGTAAATGTATAGGTGACAAGATAGGTTGCATTTTGAAGAGTAGACAAGGACAGCAGGAATGTGAAATATTATTAACTGGCTTCAAGTTTTCAAATGGAGAGCTGGTATAAAGATTGATTTTTTTTCTTCCTCATGTGCATTCTTTTCCCTGTCCCTCCATTCTTAACTCTTGTGGCTTTTTCTGTTTTGGAGAAGACAGACCAGGAGTTTAGAGAACAAGGTGGAAGAATAGCAAGAGGTCTAGAGAAGGGGTCTGAACCACCAGAGATACTTCTGGCTCCCAAACCAGTTCCACTCCCTCCTTTTCTTTTAGCATTCACATCTAGCAATTCAACCTGCTCACTTCTTTCTCTCTGTGCATCTTTTCTTCACCTGAGCTTTTCTGCCAGGTAACTGGGGACCAATATTCATATTCATTCTCTATCTCTCTCATTCTTTCTCTTTCTTCCCACTGGTTTTTCACAAAGGTTACTCCCAGTAACCATATATAAAGGGAAATGTAACAAAAGTAACAAAAACAGAAGTATCTACACTTTGAAGAAATGCTCAAAATACCCGTGTCAACTGTCATGGTGAAGCCTGCCCTACCCTAGACACCATCACCAATAATCTTACATTTTCCACTACAAGGTACCCCTCTCATGTTCTAAGGAATTCAGCACACATCCTTCATATTCCTTAGTGAGCCATCCCCTAAACCGGGAAGTCCCTCCCCATCACTCTACAGCAGAGATTCGACAGACACTCAGGGTAGAGAATGCTGGCTGCCACTAGAGTGGTAATTTATAGACCAGCCACCATTTACTGAGCACTTTCTGTGGTTAATCAGTGTGTCAGGTGGCCCATAGCATCAGGCATCAGATGGTGTAATCCTCACCACGGTGGTGGTGGCATTATTATCATCATCTTCCCCGTTTCAGAGATAAATTAACAAAATCAGAGGGATTAAGTATGATGCCTAAGGGCACACAGAAAGTAAGTATCAGAGCCAGGATCTGAATCTGGCTCTACGGTAACTGAACCTCAGAGGCTGGGCTCTTAACTACTATACTGCACTGCTTCTTCTCAGAATGCCCAGGGCTCAAGTGGAATTCATTTATAATTTAGAAGAATTTTCTTCCCAATATACACAATATCAATGAGTGCCTTCTCCTAACAATTACCCCCATCCATGCACCATAGGAAAAATGAGTTTGGTGCATTCACCTAAAGTCATGTTTACCTGTTTAAGACTATAAGAAAAAATATAGCTAAGATATACTTTTAGTGGTCTAAGCAACCCTATGTGGAATGATAGAAGACAGTATGTCTGCCCATCACGAAAGCAATTCCCACTCAGTACTTTCCACAATCCTTCTCCTTGGGCAAACGCACAACACTTATTAGGAAGCAGGGGTTGGGGGGGCGGCGGGTGTCAGGGAAAGAGAACCACACAACACGATAGGAAAGATGGATAAACCAAATATTTACAGTCCCTTGCTGGAAAGTTAAATCATTCAAACTTACTTTTTTGGTACACTTCTTGACGGTGTTGATTAACTCTTGTATTACCAAATCTACACTCTTCAAGGAAGGCCCTTTCAGCTTTACAATCTGTTTCTTGACAATTGCTTCAAATGCCATGTCTGGAGTAAACAACCCCGTCCTGAATGTAAGAAAGAAAACAGCACATGAGATTGTTAAGAATTGAGTAATATTTAATGATCCTTTGAAAAATGTTTAAATTAACATTCCACTTAAATTAAGCATGCAATGGACCAAGTTTAAAAGCTACAAAGTGATTTATTCTACCCATAGCACCACTATAATATCATTATTATTGCTAAACCATAAGTTCCAACCCATGGATTAACACTAGCTAAAAACAGTACCCAAAATGTTTACATGGCATACAACACGACCTTTAATGAATATTTAACTGTAATTTGTCTTATCTCACTGTTTCATAGCAATGAAAAGAAATGCTACAATATTTCTATTGTGTCCTAAATTTAAATTCCTATTTCTAAAAGATTCCAAAAGCAGTCCTTTCTCGCCCTTTGTGGAGTAGCAAGTGAGCCTCACTTTTGCACACTGAAATAGTGGGGTTTCTGGACTCTATGATTTACTCTTTTCCCAGAGCTATATTACAGTGGACTTGGTGAGTCCCAGCCTGAGGTCCGGAATTGTTAGGGGAAGTAGATGGTAAGAGGAGCCAAGAATTAATTTCGATATTTCAAGGTATCTATATTATGAATTTATAAAAACTATAAATTATTACCAAAATAAAAAGTACCTTCCATTTGGCTGGAATTAATTCAAACTTGTGTCATAATAATGTTTTTCTTCTGCTGAGCAGGAGTTGAGGGAAGCCAATATATACATGTGTGTGTGTGTGTGTGTGTGTGTCATAAAAAGTGAAAAATGATTACTCAAATTTAAACAAAAGATCAACAGAGAAAAGCTACAATAAGAGGGACCCTTAACTCAGAGCATGGGCCATGACTAAAGCCTCATGGGCTCCAGGCCTTGGCACTGGGCCCTCCCCCTTCCTAGGTACTTTTCCACTCCCTTCTCACCTCTCCTTACCTGATTAACTTCTCTTCCTTCAAAGCTCAATGCTACACTACCTCTTTGAGGAAACGTCTTTAACACTTCCCTTATACCAGCTTGATTCAACATCTCTTCTTACTTACTTAGCACCCTGTGCTCACCTCTATTTTTACTCTAATGTAATGTGATTACAGCTGTCTGTTATAATCATACTACATTATCACTGATATGTCTCCACATTGGGTACAGAATAAAATCCAAATCATTTAGTCTAATATAAAAATTTTCCACTGACTCTAGTCTTCCTTTGCAATTATTTTCCTCCCTCTCCTTGCACGCACCCTATGTTTCAGTCAATTGCCTTTATTCATACTCATATTCTACGTCTCTGCCTTTGCCTATGGTATTCATTTCATCCTTTCCACGATTTCAGCCTGTCCAAATCCCACAGTGTTTCAAAACCCAGATCAAAAGCAAGCACTTCCCCACACTCCTTCTCTAGTCTTGTTCTTCAGGAGGTCTTCCTTCTCCGAACCTCAACATTTATTTCACACTGCAGTCATCCAGGCATGTATTTCAGTCCCATTTTACTATCCTGGCAGGCAGAGTTGTGATTCTATTTATCCCCACAAGGACTGCCTCAATCCCTTCTCATGGTTGGTTCTCAATGTCAGCAAAACAAGCAAGAAAAATAAAACATCTCTTCCATCAGGCTCTTCATGCAAAGATGGTTTCTACTACTCAAATATATAATGGAATCAAATGGGAAAAAAATTTTCAAATTAATTATATTTAAGGCCTAATCACACCATTAGTATGTACTATAGTCAGGACTTTATGCATTTCTCAGTATATTACAGAAAATTTATCCTAGAATAATAGCAACCAACCTCTTCCGTTGGTATGCATATAGATCAGAAATCTGTAATTCTGAATTACTGAACTTTTATAATCAACAAAAAAGTATCTGTTAAGGAGTTTTATAAGCCAAGTAAAAGAACCATATTTGCTTTTGAGTTGAGTTAAAATACTTTATGACATAGAAAATGAAATTTGTTTCCACTGCCTTTATCAGGTGAACATGTTCAAATATTAGATCTGCCCAGCTAAAGAGCAAATAGTTTTTATACCAAATGTATTCTGGATTTGATGAAGAAGAAATAAAATATAGAACTTAAAAACCCTGTTGATAGTAAAAGAAAAACACTAGATCTAGTCATAGATGCTTTGTCCTTTTTACTTTATAAACTCGTACTATTAATATTTGAGACTTACAGGGTTTTTTTCAAAATACCTCAACTGGTCCTTTGGCAAATGCCAAGCCACAACTGACAACAGACAGCAACATCTCCTTCATATGAGGCAATCCATGAACCAGGCAACCTAAGTTTTATTACTTTAATTCAGGATCCTTCAATTTAACATATGCTCATTAAACTATGTTAGCCTCTGTGCAGGAACTCCAGAAATGTGTTTTAAAATAATTTTTTCTTATCATAATTCTTCAAAGAAAGTATTATGAACTGAATGTTTATGTTCCCCCTAAAATTCATATGTTGAAACCCTACCTCTCAATGCTATGGTATTAGGAAAGTGGAGCCTTCAAGAGATAACTAGGCCATTAGGATGGAATCCTTATGAATGGGATTAGTGCCCTTATAAGAAGAGGTCTGAGAACTAGCTCTTTCTGCCACATGAGGGCACCACAAGAGGTTGGCAGTCTGCAACCTGGAAGGGGGTTCTAACCAGAACTCACCACGCTGGGACCCTGACCTCAGATTTTCAGCCTCCAGAACTGTGAGAAATAAATTTCTGTTGTCTATAAGCCACCCAGTCCGTGGTAATTTGTTACAGCAGCCTGAACTGAGATATCCACGTCCACACATACAAGCACACACGCACACAAACAACATGCCTCAGCCTGTTGGAATCATTGTCTCCACAGGCAAGGCTGAACTCAAAAGTAAGCACCTTCATTAATCTTTCCCAGTCTTACTCCACAACTCCAGTCAAAATTAATCTGCCTTTTCTCTGTGTGAGTAATGATTATTTATGAGTATATCGGGCCTCCCTCACTACAACCGAAGTCTCTGGAAAACAGAGCCAAAGGCTCATCTGTGAATCCCCTATTGTGCACAGTGTGGGCTGTGACTGCAGAGAGCATTTTTGCTTTTTTTAATTGGAAAAAACTGACTACAACAATGCAGGAAGTTATCATGAAATGCAAAACTAGGATTTCCTATTTCTTATTCCCACCTCTGTATTCTGTTCAACGATGAAAAGCCTACTTTACTAGCTATTTATAAACATTAACTTTCTTATGGTAGCTTGAACTGAAGACAAGAAAAACGTGAATCACTTGCCTGATACCATGTATGTTTTTGATTGCATAGCTTATTTCTCTTCGCAATTCTTTCTCATTGAACTCCATCTGCAGATGCAAAATGAGCCATGGTTATGACACTTAATTCCTTTGAATAATAATATTGTTGAATATACAGAATGAGAATAACTTGACTTAGTTATTAATAAATGGATACTTGTGTCTTTCCCAACCTAAACCCAGATGGTCAAAACATCTGTTTATATAAAGTTCAAGGCAGCATAGAACACAAGGGATTTCTGGGATTTTTAGTGCAGCAGATTTTAACTCTAGTGTAGATAGAGAGCTGTGCATAAAGCAGCCTTCTGGACACAAATCCAGCCATTCATTTGAAATATACGACTCTTCATTCTTATGCTGAGTGCAGTGAATGTGAGGGCACAGGCCAGCGTATAAAGGAGGGTGTCACCTGACAGGCAGCAGCAGTGCAGCTGTCCTGAAATTAACAATGGCTGTCTTTTGCCCCCAGCCATTTTAACCACCTGAGCACAAGGCCTCTTTATAAAAGAAAATTAATATTTCACCAAGCCAGCACAGGATAGATTGCTGTACAAATATTTCCCAGAAGTCCTAAGAACCGTAAATCTGCTTGGAAGTAGGATCAAAGTGTCACAGAGCTCAGCCCTAGAAGGGATAGCCAGGGAACACTAGGTCCAGCCCCTGACTTCTGAGACTTGGCCCCTGCAGCCTGACTGTCCATTTTCCTCCTCGCACTTCATGCCGTAGGCCAGCGAATTGCTTCAGGTGTCTATCCACACCCTGTGGCCACACAGCTCGGAGCTTTTATTATTCCTCCCTTTTTGTCTGGAACATCCGCTTCTCCTACCCCTACCTCTTCCTGCTCAACTAGTGGCTCATCCTTCCCAACCCCGCTGGGGAGTCTGGCTCCCTTACACGTTTGGGCTGGGATTGAAGTCTGTGGGCTGTGTTTCCATAGCACTCTGTGCTGAAGTTTTTCACTTTACTTAGCACATCTTAATGAAACTATCTATTTACTCATCTGCCTCCCACACCAAGACATAAGCACCCACCTCTTTGTAAGCGAGGCAAGTAGCACAGGCCCTAAACTACTTAACTGCCTGTTGGGCATTTTACACTTCGCATGTCCAAAACAGAACTCTTGATTCACACCTCCACAAACACAGCTTTTCTTCCGGTTCCCTCCTCTGATGGGCACCACCATTCACTCAGCTGTGAAAGCCAAAGCCTTGAGAGTCATCTCGAATCTTCCTTCTTCTACTCCCCATATCAATCCAAGCCCTATCAATCTGACCTCTGAAATTCCAGAGCCATCCATTTCTCTCCACCGTCTCTTGCCAGGGCATTTTTACCGGGAGGATAAAGAAGTTTAAGGACTTCTCCTTTGCACTAGCCTCTTCTAAGACCCTGTGCCTAACTGTGTGTTTATAAGTTTATATTCCTCTTGCCTTCAAAACTGTAGAAGCTTCAGGTCCTACAGAAAATGAACCCACCCTGGTCTGGCCCCACTGTTTTCCTGACTTTACTTGTCCTTTGCTCTTTTACAATCCAGCAGGCATAATGTCCTTTTAAAATAATCAACAAAATCGAGGCACACGTTTGCTTAAAACCTTCCTGTAACTTCCCATTATTAAATGTAAACATCTGACCTCAACCTAGAAAGCCCTGCATGAACTGGACACTTCTTTCCTCTCCGAATTTATGACTTACCCCTGCTTTGGGGTTTTTCCCCATCAAGGTCAGACCTCATCCTGCCAGAATTCGTCACATGCCCCTCCCCCTCCCCCAGCCACGTTGGTTCTTCACCTGCCTCACTCCTTCCTGCTTGAGGGCTCTGATCCAGGTTTCTGCTTCCGCTTTGAATGGCCTTCTTCCCCAAGATCCCTTCCTTCCCCAGATTGTCACACGCCTGACCTCTTCATGCCATTCTGGGCATGGTTTAGATGTCCCCTGCTCAGACAGAACTTTTCGGAAACCCCTTTAAAAGTGGCTCAACCAGCCCTCATCTTTCACATCATGTTACCATAAAAGCACATGATATTTTCTCATTTTGCCTCACTTTGTCTAAAATAGACCTTCTCTGTATTGATCACTGGCACCTAGAGCTTTGGTGAGTAGAAGGTGCCGAAGAAATATTTTTAAATTAATTAGATAACAAATAAACACCATAGGGAACTCAATTAGTATTTCTTGAAATAACATGAAATGTAGTTAAATCCCATTAAATAAAGCCAGAATCATCAGTAATATTTCTCTCCTGAATTTCATTGCCTGAGTGTGGAGATTTCTGTTCAAAGAACTGTCTTAGTCCCATACCACTCACACAATATTTTATCAAGAGTTTTGTAAAACAGAATATGGAAATGAGTGGAACAAAAGAAAAAAAACACACATTTGGTACAAACCTTTACTATCTCAAAAGGAAAGCGTTCATGGAAAATACGATTGATTTTAGCGCCACCTGAGAGCTCCAGGGTGTCCACTTGATCCCCCGACCCTTCAATTCTCTTCTCGAAGTCCACAGCAAATTGCTGAACCATCCTGTAATTGTGACAGAGGGATACCTTTGAGTTAGGGTCACAAGCCTTTGCACTCCGCATTGTGCTTTACTGTGGTTATTCTGAGTGTCATTTCCCTGCTGTCCTGGGTGGCACCTACCGGCAGGATGAACAATGCACTGTACTTAGCACTCAGAATGTGATTGCGTGGAATACACATTGTTAAGATTTATTTTAGACATTTAATTAGAATAAATATTTTTAAAATATCTATTTCTAATTGCATTCTTTTCGTGTGGTTGCAACCATAAAGTGGTATTCAAAGAATACTTAAATCAAAAATTAAAGTTAAGCCATAAAATTTTATGTAGAATAGTCAAATAAACCTCAGCTCCCACGGCACCACCACGGCCCAGCTCCAGGGGCTCCAGGTAGGCCCCGCACACTCCGTGAGCTACTCTTCCTCCCGACAGTGTCGCAGCCTCGGTCTCTCCTCCCAGCCTACACATTCATCCTAGGTGATCTCAAGGCTGCCATGGCTTCAAGGCTTATCAAAAAATTAGATTTCTTAATTAAGAGAGCAGCCCATATGCCCAACTGTCTAGCTCACATTTATCTCCTCTCAGCTGCCTTGAACTCAACCCCCCCAAACTTGGGCTTTTCGGTTTTTTTCCCCCCCACCTTGTTGTTTTTGTTGCTTTTTTGATTTTCCCTCACAGTGGCTGGCACCATCCCCCACGGCAGGGAGTCTGGGGCATCCTGCACGCCTCCCTTTCCCCCACCCCAGTTGTTGGTCATCCCCCTCTTAACGTCCCTCGGACCACCGACCCCTTTCTCTTCACCCACCCCACCCCCACACTGCTTTGGTCAGCCCTCAGCAGTGCCTCCAGGGATCACCGAAGCCACCTCTAGATGACCACCCTACGTGGGGCTTCTCCCCATCAAGGAAGGACCTCACCCTGCCAGAACAACACAGATTTGCGATCCCATGCCCCTACCCCCCCCCCACAACCAGCTCTGGCCTTGTCTGTCAATGACTCCTCACAATTTGATAATAAAATCAAAATTCCTTAACCCATCCCCCAAGATTCTTTATGGTCTGGCCCTGGCCGACTCTTCCACCCATCACTCACCGCTCATCCCATGTGCCTTCCGAGCCAACCATGTGGAAGCCATTTGCACTTCCCCAAATGTCCCATGTCCCTGTGCCTTTACACTTGTTTTTCTTTCTGCTCAGGACACCATTCCCTCTGCCCCTTGCTGCTTTGCCTGGCTAATTTCTATCTGTCCTCAAGATTCAGCCTGAGCACTAGTAGAGCACAGGTGTCCTGGGATGAGTACGCTGGGCGGGAGTGCTCTGGTTGGGAGGATCGGACACAAGTCGCAGCATGGTGATAAAGGGGCAGACTTGGAGCCAGGGGGCAGGGGGAGAGAATAAACGTACAAGATATAACAAGCTGTTCTCTCTCTGGTAACCCTGCTACCCTACCCTGTGTCCCTTGGGGATAACGGTAATAACCTGAGGATAACATGGGAAGATAATAAAGGAATGAAAAGATGTTTGGTGATTCCCACGTTTGCATTTTTAAAGGCCTACATTAAAAGCATTACCAAAAAAAACAAAAAACAAATTTAAATATGGCCTTATTGTCTATACTTTTTAAAACTAAATCCTTGGTTCTCATTCCACTGAAAAATACACATAGATAAATTACATAAAATAATTGAAATAAAAGTTAATAAGTACAACTGACATCAATAGAAACAGCTGAAAAATATTAACACAAATGACATTTTCATCTGTATTTACCCACTTCGAAGACTAAGGACAAAAAATCCTGCTGAATTATCACTACTAGTTTTACTCACCAAATCTAGTTTTAAAAACACAATTAAATTGGGCACAGGAATGGGCATGGAGATTGTTAAATTAATAATTACAGAATAAGATCAATAATTATTCTTCAATAAAACATGAAGATTCAAGGGTGACTGTGTAACATATTTTACTTGCTGCTTCTGTTAAACCTAGAAAACAGCATGACAAATAGACTAAAGCAAAAGCAAACTGAAGAAATTAGAAGAAATCAGAAACCGAAGAAATTAAAAATGCTGAACACAGGAAGGGAAAGGTGACGTACTGCAGTAGTGCTTTGGTCTTCCTGGTGGGGTCCTCTGGCTTGAAGTTTTTGTAGGCTTCTACTTCATGTTCTATGGAGAGCAACTGTCCCTGTAGTTTGTTCCTGAAGTTTGGCAGGGTATCGCGAATGTGGTTGGTAAGTTGCTAAATAAAACAAAACAAAATCATACACACATATAGCAGATTGAACGTTAACTGATGAGATAAAAATCAGCCTCCACCATTTTCCTAACATTCAAAACTTCAAAAATCATATACACATCGGAGACTATACAGATAGACAGTAAGAAGAAACATCATCTCTCTCCTCCACTGCCCCTCGGAGATGCTCAAAATTTCTTCAGTTAGGGTCACTCACTTGCTATCTCTTTATGTCTGGGAAAACCCTGTCAAAATGCAGCTAATGTTACTAAGGAGGCTGCCCTTAGCATGGATTGATTGATAGCTGCCCTTAGCAAGCACCTCCCTTGTAGAAAGGGACCTCCGGTTAGAATGTGGTAGAAGGGAAGGAAGCTGAGAGTTACAGGTGCTGCCTGATGTTCTCGAGCCTACACGGCTTACCACACTGATGCAGCTCAGGTAGTCAGGGGTGCCACACGTCCGGCCAGCTGCTAACTTTCTCTACGCCCTGCAGCTCTGGCAGGTGCTTGCTCGTACTCCACCTCTAGGCCCCAGTCTAAGTGTGGTTGGTCACTGACCTGCGCCCTCGCCAGACTGACTATAAAATGTCCATGATGAGTAGGGAAAGCTCTCTGTGCTTCCGACACCACGACCTGACTGTCTGCTGTTCCCACCACTGAGATCAGCCCGTGCCATAAGCTCTCTAAGACACTGCCTAAGCATAGACAATTCATTAAGAACAAAGGTGAGATAAAAACCCAGATGTTCACCTCTCTGTTTTATGTTCTATTACAATGCAGTTAAAAGAAAGTCCTAATTAAAAGAGAGAAAAAAAAAAGATAACCTTCGTGAACTGCTTAAGTAATAAGCTTGAAATCAATCAAGAGAAAGAATATAAACTTCCTAGAAATGCACAAAAAATAAAAATAAAAGGAGAATTAATATATCCAGATTGGCTGAAGAAGAAAATTATTTTAAATCATCTATATGTTATCTGAGGTTACCTGAATATATCTATTCAACAAATCTATAGTTAATTAACTGTCGATAGTTTATGACTATGTTATTCTCTTGCCCACAGTCACGTCAGGCCCTGGCGTGCTGTTGAGGCTAAGAAGCAGGCAACACAAGAATGGAGGGACCACGTTCCAATAGTAATGTCACAAGAGACAAGGACCCAAATCTAAGAGTAACAGCAACCACCTGACTGCCATATGAGCTGTTAAAGACTAAAAACACCCGATTTCCACCTTTTGCTTATATTTCCATAGCAAAGCAACGTCATGGACCACTCTTGGCTTCCTAAAACACTTCTTTCCTTGGCTTCCATGATTTCAGCTCCTCTAATTTTTCTCCTACCATTCAGAATATACCTGCTCCATGTCCTTGGACAACCCAGCCTTCTCATCAGACCAGTAATTATTGAAATTCCTCAGGTCTGGGTTCTAGGCCTCTACTTTGTTCACTCTCTATTCTCTCCTAAAGCAATCTCATTCCATGCATGGCTTCAATAAACATCCAAACAACTGCAGCTGCAAAAACATTGTCTCCAAATAGGGCTTCCTATCTTTGCCGTGGGCATGCACATTTGACCACCTGCTAGGTTCTCTTCTTGGATGTGTCAAGGACACTTCAACCTCAACGTGTCCAAAATCAAGTACCTGATCATCTCTTCACGGTTCCCCACCTTGGTGACTTCGTAACTATCTGGATGCTCAAAAGTTAACTTTGACCATCTTTCCATCGCCCAACGGTACTCATCTACCACCAAAATCTCAACTTTTCTATACATTTCTCAAATGTGCTTTTTCTTTCATCTCCACTGGCCCTAACCAAGACCAACCTACCACAATTTCTGACTTTGACTTTTAACTGATCTTCCCAGTTTTGCTCTTAACCAGTCTACTCTTGATCTTCCTGTCTGCAATACCATATTCTTTTTGAACCCACAGATCTGAACGTGTTGTTCCCCTACTCAGATCCCTTAAATGACTCCTCACTGCTCTTTGGATAGGAGTAAAAATTCTCAACTTGGCCTGTAAACGTTATGGGATCCGGCCACTGCCAACACCTCCAACTACAACTCCTATACCTCAGTCCTTTTCCTCTGTCCTCCAGCCACAATGACATTTCATTCAATTCCTCAAACACCTCTTGCCCTTTTCTAGTTTTTCCACGTAAATTGTCAGAGATATTGGTGCATATTGTATCAGCAATAAAATTATCCTAGTTTCAAACTAGGATAAAGGTACTTGAAGGAAAATAGAGAGAGAATGATCATCCAGGAAAGAAAAACTCTTCAGTACAAAATTCATTCAATTTTCAGTCAATCAGAATCCAAATATGTCATAACTTGGGGGTCACCTGTAATGACCAAACAGTCAGTCATCTAATATATATATTAGAAACAGGATCTTGCTACATTGCCCAGGCTGGAATGCAGTGGCTATTTACAGATGTACTCATAGAGCACTACAGTCCCAAACCCTTGGCCTCAAGCAATCTTCCTGCCTTAGCCTCCAGAGTAGCTGGGACTACAGGTGTGAACCACTGCACCTGGCTACATATTCACATTTTTAAAATGATAGTAACTATAGTGCTGCCTTATAGCTTCCAAATACTCATTTTACCCTTAATTAAAAGGTATAAAATTTACAGTATTCTGTGTTACATCTCTTAATATAGAAATATAACATTGCTTTTTATTTTCTCAAACTTCTTCAGTTGTTTTGCCTAAATGGTTCAGGTACAATGTCACATATTGTGACAGCCTCTACTGATACCTTCAAGGAGATAACAACCAGAATTCGATAACTACTTAACTTCATAGACAGAAGTTGAAGCATAACTTATGAGAATATTTTTGAAGAAAGCTGCCCACCATATAAAGTCAATGTTATCAAAACTCACTGAGGGGCCCTGAACTCAATGACAATGACACTTGTCGTGACACTTAACTCCAATAGGGGAAGTTATTACGGAAGTGGGTGGAGGTTTTATGGAAGAAGTGTGTATGGTGCATGGAGGGGAAGAGTGGAAGGCCCAATTCTAATTTATCGTAGGGAAAGGGGGTATCTGGAAAAACTTCTTAGATGAGTGGAAATCAATGATTAATCAAGATTTGTTGTTTTGAAGATTTCAAATTCAGAAATAAAAAAAAAAAAACCTCAGTGGAAATCATGCAGGAGGGAGCGGAGACAGGAGAGGGGGGAGAGGGGAGGGAAAATCCAACCTAACGGGTGCTATGAACACCACGGGAGTGATGGGCACACCTATAGCCGGGACTCAAGCATCACAAAAATGATCCGTGTAACCTAAAACATTTATACCCCCTTAATATTTGAAAATTTAAAAAAAGATTCCAAATGTCAAAAAAAAAATTAATCTTAATGCCATAAAAAAATTTTAACAGAAAATCTAACCTAGCCATTATGGATTGGTATTTCAAAAACAGATCCTAAGAGGTCAGTTATTTGGAGCCACATCAGTTTAACTTCTTAAGATAACTACATATTGTGAGTGAATGAATACTAACATGCATACCCCTGTTCATTGCTCCTGAATAAGTATGTTTCTACTTTGAGCACTGTCCTTTCAATAATATTAAGGTGAATTCTGTTCATTGAGAATGGCAACAGTGTGGAGCTAAGTATTCATATTCATTTTTAAAATTTCTATCATTTAAGTTGAATGTCTTGTTTTGGAAAAAAAATAAATTTAAAAATAAGAAACATGGATTCCAGCAGTCACTTACATATTTCATAATTGTTCTTGCTGCTCAAAAGAATGTTTTTACCTGATTAAGGACCTTCTGCAGGTGTGGGGTGCCCATCCGGTCAGCAAGGTGTCTGTAACCCGGGTGCGAAAGAAAAAATTTCCTCTCTGCCAACATGGCTGCCTTAATGTCCTTCTTCCCATCTATGTCCTTCTGGCTTCTGTTTACCACCCCCACGTAACCTGAAACAAAACACAAATCTATGCAGTTGGGGACACTTATTGCTGCTTATTCTGGGAAGACGTCAAAGCTCTCAAACAGGCTACGAAAGGCAAAATTAGTCTTCGGGCTGAAGCCGGGGTTCCTTCACAAAACTCAGTAGGAAACATCAGTACTTAACAAAGGGTGCTGATTTGGCTAATGATAATTTTTTAGCATCAGCACAATAATAGCTCATTTTAAGAGATTTACCTCTCTTGGCAGTTTTATCATATAGCAGGCAAGTTAATATCAGACTTAGAAGAGAACAGTATATGATTATGCATTCTATGATGAATATTTATAACCTCCCTCAAACCTTTTCCTTTTTCTGCTTTCTTATTCCTGTTATTTTAAGGAATAGTTCTCCCTTTGGGTCATTTTTTAATACATCATATGGGAACACAGTGCCATTCCATAAAAGGTATAACTAATATAAATCCATTCCTTACAACTGAGGAGGCATTAAAACCAAGCCTCCCGGTGGCTTCCTGATCATTTCTCTGCCCTGTCATCAAGGAGTCTTGTATAGACCACAGCACATTACCCCTGCGAAGAGGCAGCAGCTTGTTCTCTAGGACATCCCTGGCATCTGTTCCTTCATCCATAAGATCCAGTTTGGTGATGACTCCAATGGTTCTCAGACCTGAATCAGAAACAAACCCAACATCACACAATTGGGAGAAAACTATCAAATCTTGGAGACATGTATGTCTGTATGCTAAATGTAAAGCACCTTCCTAGGGCTTTTCCTGTTCCTGTCTTACTGTGTTTTCTAATCTACTGCTATACCAGTCTGGTGATTTTAATAGGATGAGGAGGAGAGGTACAAAACCAAGAGAGAAAAACAAATAGCCATATCACCAAAACGCTTCTAAATATATGTGTTTATTTTGTACCATGCATAAAAGAAAATTATACATTTTCATTTTCCTCCCACATATTCCACCTCATGTGGATGCTTTAAATTTTTATGTATTACATTATTATTAATAAAAGCAAATAAACACATAGGCCATGCATGGGCCAATGATGAGAGTGTGTCATAAACCAAGCATTATTACTGATCCAGTTCTGGACTCTTGAAGTCAAAAAAATTAAAAGAAGAAAATCAGGTATAGGACAGTGTCATCACCAAAATACACCTGCAAGTCTCACAGCATCTACCATGCCTTAGAAAAGGAAATACGATGCAATGGAAAGAAGACTGAACTAGGAATTGAGGCTTGGATTCTAATCTCAAGGCAAGTCACTTCTCTCTCCAGTTTTCCTCATCTGTACAATAAAGAGTTAGAAACCATGATCTCCAAGGTAATAAAATAATGTAAGAACCCAGGTATTTTTTGCAGTACATCATATATATAGTATTTGTCCTTTGCTTTATTCATTATATGAAATGGACGATATTTGCCTCGTTATTCATATTGTTAAATGCATTTCTTTGGATAATATTTGCCTAGTTATTCATATTGTTAAATGCATTTCTTTTAACTGGACTTCCAGTTAAATGCAGTTACTTGAACACATAGATTTATCTTTTATCTGAAATTACTCAAACAATAGTGGCTAATATTTATTAAGCCAGCTATGGTTTTAAGTGGTTTATATGAGGGCTGTCAGAAAGTATCCAGCCATGTAACCATTCTTGTTATATTAATAACGGCTGGATACTTTCCAGACATCCTCATATGTCTTAACTCATTTAATTTTAAAAAATAGTCCAACTACTATTTTTTGAAGATGAGAAAATGGAGGCAGAAAAAGACTACATGACTGTCTAAGGTCATACAATCATATAGGCAGTGGGTCCAGGCAGTCCTGCTCAAGAGCCCATGCTTTTAACCAATAGAATGCTCCACACAGTAAAAACATTTAAAGAAAAAAAGAATTGAAACAAAAAGGTCAAAGAGAATGGGATAGGACCGCAGAAAAAATTTGAAACTGGAAACCTAGAAGGTTGACTGCTAACCAACTTAACAGATAAGTGAAAGAGGAAAACCACATTCAAAAAAGCCAACAATAGGAGAAGCCCAGAAGCATGATGATTTGTATCATAGCATAGCAGAAATGCTCAGGACCTGGAGGACTAAGAGCTCTGAAAATAGTAGAGAGGAGTGGTGAGATCCTGTCTATAAACAAAATTTTTTTTAAAAAAAATCATTGAGACCAAAAAAAATCTCAATAATTAAAAATACGAAAGCAGAAGTGAAAATGTTAGTAGAAGGTTTGGAAGGCAAAGTTGAGGAGTTCTTCCAGAAAACAAAATGAAAAGTAAATAATAGAAAAGGAAAAATAGTTTTAAAAACTAGAGATAAGATCCAGAAGATCCAATATTTGAATAAATGGCATTCCAGAGAGAGAAAATCAAACAGAAACCATTTAGGAGTGGGGCAAATTCTATTAAAGAAAATGTCCTATAAGTGAAAGATGACTTTATGGAATGAATGAACTCAACAAGTGTCCAGCACAAAATGAAAATATACACACATGAAATACAGCACACATTAGTATTTTCAGATTTCAAAACACTGGGAGGGAACAGTAAAAGATCCTAAAAAGCTTCCAGAGAAGTTAAAAAAAAAAAAGGAAGGAAGGAAGGATTGGGAATCATTGCAGCATCAGTCTTCCCAGCAGCAAACTGGAAACTAAAAAAAAGTGCAATGTTTTCAAAATTCTGAGGGAAAATTAATTTTTAACCTATACTTCTAAATTAGCAAATAAATGTGGCAGTAGGAAAAGATATTTTCAGACTGGAAAATCTCAAAATATTGTATTTCTTTTTAACCTTTTATTAGAAATCTGATAAAGGATGTGTTCCACAAAACTAGGAAGCAAATTATTAATAACAGCGGAAGACATGAGATCCAGGAAGTAGGTGTACAACCAAGAAAAGAAAGCAATTTTCAGGATAGTGTAGATCCCAGTAGAAGGCCAAAAGAGCAGTCAGTATCTATTGGAATGAGAGAACACAGAGGTCTGAAGAGATGTCTTCTTCCCCCAAGGAAAAAAACAAAAGTGATAGAATATCTAATGCTTAATGTTTTTAAAGATACTAAGAGATTGAGACTTCTGTAGGAGAGGTTGGGAATGTGAAAGTGATAGATATATAGAAAACTATGTAAACAAGCAAACAGAAAATTATCAACATCATAGACAGCGTCATGCACGAAAGAAATTTTCATCATAATTTACCACATAGCTTGCCTGTGAATATATTTTCAAAATTATAAAAATTTATTTACCAAAATATAATTATATCATTATATTAGTAGGATGGAGGAGGGGAAGTATATATGTGTGTGTGTAAGTATGGGAGAGGAATATAAGACAGCAAAATCCTCCTCCTCTACAGTAGGAAGTCAGAAGAGAGTATCTCAAATTAAAAAGAAAAAAGAGAAACAAGAAATAGTATTAGAAATAGATCACCTAGAAATATGGAGGTTATACAAAAGGTGTAACACATGCATAATGGAAATACCAGAAGGAGAAGACAGAAAGAAACAGATATTTGAAGTAATAATTACTGAGAATTTCCCCAAAACTACTATCAGACATTAAACTACAGATCCAGGAAGCTTAGAGAACAGCAAGCAGGATAAATGCCCCAAAAAGCATATTATATTTTAAATGCAGAAAAACAAAAATAAAAAATGTTGAAAGAAACCAGAGGGAAAAAACATCTTATCTAAAGAGGAGGACTTCAAAGATACAATCTGCCAAAACTGCACAAGAAGAAATAGACAATCAATCGGAGGAGGCCTATATTTATTAAAGAAATTGAATTAATAATAACATTCAAAGATGAACTATATATTACAAATGGTGCTGTCAAGTCTTGAGGACTAATTATAGTGACTTTCTTTCTGTCTTTGCAATCTCTTAGCAGATTGTCTGTGATTTACTTCACATTCTGGCTTAATTGTGAAATAAATCAGTTTTCTTTCTATTCTACCATTGTGGACAGTTATTCTGGGTTTGGAAACTATTTTCTTTTTAATTATGTTTTCCAAACACTGTCCAGAATTACCAGACATGATATAAACATATTAGGTGCCCACCAGACTTCACGTTAGAGGGCCTTTCCTTCTCAGGTTTCCAGCTACAACCCACAACTGTGCAGCAAAGTGTATCTTCAGACCCATATCTGACTCAGAGACCATGGGGCCCAGAAACCCAGCCAGGCTGACCCATGTGCATGCAGTAGGCCTCAGAATATCAATTCCATCTCCCTTTTGCCCAAATGCCCACAAAGGTACAGAGGACACCTGCTGCTTCCCTACTCCTCCAAAACCTAAAGCTGCAGCTTCAAATTGTGAATCCAGGTCCTCAGATGTAAGAAAAAAAGGAACTTTTATTTGATAATGGCAGGTTCTTTTAATTATTATGCCAAGAGAGACTCAATTATGTCCTTTTCTTCCCTTTAAGGTGTGTATTCATCTCTTGAAACTGGTTGTTTTTGCCTCAAGTAGCTGTAAATTAATCTAATAATGCCACACCAGAGACTATAACTCACACTCTATAGTTTAACGATGCACAATCACTAATCAATTTTATTCTGTAAACCAATTAGAATTGATGAAAAACAATTTTTTATCAGCCCATTCATTGTCTCCCTTCTTTGTCTTTGAAATTCCTCTTGTAATTGCTGCTAATCAGAGGGTAGAGTCAGAGAAATTGGAATCTGTGCTTCTGGGTTGCAGTCCTCAACCTTGGCCCAAATAAACTCTCTATTCACATTAAATAACAATAATAATAACAACCACCTTCAAAAACAGAAAGTACCAGGTCCAGATGGGTTCACTGATGAAGTCTACCAAATATTTAAAGAAGAAATCATACTGATTCTCTACAGTCTCTTTCAGAAGATAGAATCAAAGAAAATACTAACTCATTCTGTAAAACCAACAATATCCTTCACCAAAATCACACAAAGACATTAAAAATATCTCTCATTAATATAGGTGCAAAAATCCTCAACAAATTATTAGCAAGTCAACTCCAACAATACATAAAAAGAATTATACACCATGACCAAGTGGGATCTAACCTAGGTATGCAAGGTTGGTTAGACATTTGAAAATCCATTAATTATATTCTGCCACATTGACAAGAAGAAAAAAAAAAATCACATAATCCTATCAAAAGATGCAGAAAAAATATTTGACAAAATACAATACCCATTCATGATTTTTAAAAGCTCAGCAAAACAGAAATAGAGGGGAACTTTTTCAACTTGATAAAAAACATCTACGAAAACTTTCCCACTAAGATTAGGAACAGAACAAAGATGTTCTCTCTCACCACTACTTTACAACATTGTACTGGAAGTCCTAGCTAATGCAATAAGATAAGAAAAGGAAATTAAAGGTTTGTAGATTTGGGAAAGAAGAAATAAAACTGTTTTTGTTCACAGATGACATGAGCATCTATGTAGAAAATTCAAAATAACTCACAAAAATATTTCTGAAACTAATAAACAATTATAACAAGGTTAAAGGATACAAGATTAATATATGAAAGTTAATTTTCCTATATACCAGCAATGAATGAGTAGAATTTGGAATTAAAAACATATTATCATTTACATTAACACCCCCTAAAAATGAAATAGTTAAATCTAACAAAATATGTGCAAGATCTATATGA